AAAAAACAACTCATACATTAATTTAAGATGATCCAAACAAAGTAAGGAAAGCAATCCCAAATGCGTTCATTTACTTAAAATTATTTGGCAGAGAAATCGACACTTTAACGATGGTCTGGGCCTGGCTGGGGCGATGGCATGTGTGCCCACAGAGAGGGCTCTGAGTGCCACCTCTGGCACCCATGCCATAGCTTCGCCACCACTGATCTAGTCCAATCCTCTGCTCAATGCAGGAGTAATTCCAGGAAATCTCCAGGTCCCACCTGGAGGTTGGCATCCCTACCCAGTAAGCATCTCAGTCAGAATGGAGTTTCGAACCTGTGTCTTCCAGATCCTCGTCCAGCACTCTAACCCCTACACCTTCTTCCCACTGTTTGAAACACAAACATTCAATGTTTTCTGAGTGCTTAAGATTGTCGCTTCCCAGACTACTGGATCGAAGAGGAGAAAAATTTTAAAAATTAATCTTATAAGATGTACTTCACATCTTGCAAGATACATGTCGGCAATACAAATAAATCTCCAGACATCTTCAGGGAGCAGCTGAAATTGCAGCATTCTTATGTACGTCTTGTGCTGTGAGTCAAAATATATTAAAAGAACTTTGTCAATATTGCCTAACAGGGTGTGAATCTTTCCCCAACACAGCTGAAATTTCACTTTGTATCACCACATTCTGTGCTCAAGCAATTCCACATTATGAAATCATAAATTGTAAAAAGTTAATGCTTCAAATATGCTCAGTTTGGAGTTGGAGTGGTTGTACTGGGATCCTCCATTGCTCAGTTAAAAGTTACCATTTGTCAAACAACTCAATTTCTAAGGTTCCAGAGAGAAATTGCCGAATTAGAATTTTATCCATAGGTTTAATATTTATTATTAACTAGGTGTTAAACAGGAGTGACACCTTTCTTAAGCCACGACAGGCCTTAAATTGCTTAGCATAATTGCATTATAGCCAGTTAACAACATTTGTACGTGGTCATTGTACACTTCTGAGTTTTGAAGAGACATTTCACAAAGCGTAGCATTTCATAGGCCCCCACCTTATGGAATGGTCTACTTTTTGAGATCAGAAAGACTCCACCCTCCTGGCTTTCCACAAATTATGCAGAATTGAATGATTCAAGAGGGCTTTTGCACTGCTTTAACAAAATGATTCAGAAAGCAGCTTAGGGTAAAAGGGGACTGTAGACCATATAGTCTACATATATTTTTAAATTGTTTTTAATTGTCTTTGTTGTTTGTATGGGCATTGTATCTGCCAAACCTGTAAATAAATTTCGTTGTGGACAAGCCCAGCAGTGGGGTCTCGTAATGATTACATTGCCAAGATCGTACATAACATCAGGTACGAAACACCCCGGCCATGCATGTCAAACTATGGATGTACATCAGGTCCTTACATTTCTGGATGGGCCAGAGACAGCTGACCACTTTCAATTAACTCGAAAAAAGGGCCTTCCGGCCTTAATAACCTAGCTCATACTATCTGTTATGGTAGGTAGGTTCCTATAATTTATTTATTTATTAATTTTATTTCATTTATACCCCGCCTTCCCCGCACGCGGGCTCAGGGCGGCTTACACAGGCACAAAAGTGCGATAAAAATACAAGAAGTTAAAACAATTAAGGCACAAGTGCAGTAAAAGTCAACAGTTAAAACAGTTTAGGCAAAAATGCACATCTCACAAGATACATGACGACTACAATACTTACTCCCTATTGCATATCCCAATGGGGTCAAAAAAGGGGGGGGAGGGGGGGTTAATGTGTCGTGTTAGTACTGATGCTTTGCTTTACCATTGTTTTTGATCTCTGGTTGGTTCCAGATTTCTGAAAGTCATAAGAACATTAGCCCTGCTGGATCAGATCAGTGGTCTATCTAGTCCAGCATCTTGTCTCACACAGTGGCCAGCCAGTTCCTCTGGAGGGCCGACAACAGGACATAGAGGCTGAGGCCTTCCCCTGATGTTGCCTTCCGGCTCTCGGATTCAGAGGTTTAGTGCCTCTGAATGTGGAGGTTCCCCTTGTAGGAAACAAAATTTACCTTCCCTGGCCCCTCTGGGGAGAAAAACAATTGTGAGAAACTAAAATCACCTTCCCCGGCCCCTCCGGGGAGGAAAACAAGCAGTCCTTTAGTTGAACTTTATTGACAATGAAGGGAATTGACTCAAACGAGCTCCCAGAACTTTTCAAACTGCTGCATTTTATTCCCTACCTCCAGTCACAAGTTCCCTCCTCCTTTCCCCCTTTATCTTAGGTATGCGGAAGTTACAGCCTCCATGACTGCCTAGTTAGTACATGCTGGCTCATTAACATGATTCCCTCCTCAATCATATATCGCATGTGCATTACAATTAGCTATTTAACTATGCAGGGTGTGTTAGATAATATGTATTAGTTCATTACACATGCGTGTTTTGTTAGTGCCCTAGTCAGCAAAGGCCATCCTCGCTCACCTGGCCACACTCCTTTCTCCCCCTCATCTCATCTCTGGCCTTGTGGCAGTTTCCTATCTTTTTAGACAGACTGCAGTTCTGTAGTTCAGTACTGTAACTATTCCTTGTTTCTCTCTGTGTGTGTCTCTTTAAAAGTTTGGTTGCATGGCTGTGGTAGATAGACTAGAGTGGTTGAGAGAGGCAAGTGTGGTATGATTGGTGGTTGACAGAGAGGGGGAGGGGTTTTGGAAGTGAATCTGATTGGATGAGTTTGTGAGTCAGTCAGGAGTTTCAGTTAGATGTTGACAGTTGATGTTCAGTTAGTTCTGTGTTGAAGCAGTTAGAAGTGGACAGCTGCGGTTGTTCAGTGAGAAAGGGAAGGAGAGCTGAAAGCTGAAGGTATAGGAAAAAGTAAAGTTTAAGTGAAGTAAAGTTAAAGGAAAGTCTGAGTGTCATAACAGACTGGAGTGAAACAGTGAACATATATGGCATTGAGATAAACAAGTGTTACAAAGTTACATGAAAAGATCCCTGTCATTGAGGGAAAAGATTGAGTGTGATACCAAAGCAATTGTACATCATTTACACATTACTAGTTACATTGTAACACCCTCTTATTTAGTATTTATTTCAATAAATCCTCTTTTATTTAAGTTTATACCAGCTCTGAATGAAATACTTCTCAAGACCACATAGTTCCTCGTAAGCCTTGAACTCGGTCTACCAAACTAAAAAGAGCAACAGTCGAAGCATAAAGGTTTGGAAATCCTTAAAATTTCCTGGTGGCAGCAGAATCTACCCAGTTAAACATAATAAAGAGAACTTTTAAAGTGAAACTAGTCCTCCCCAATAAGGAGGACGTCACAAGTACTTACCGCTGTGTTAGCTCACTTTAACTAATTCACTTCTCTTCTCTCACCTTCAGTCACCATGCCTAGTAGCCATTGATAGACCTCTCCTCCATGAATCTATCTAATCCCCTTTTAAAGCTGTTTATTCCTGTGGCCGACACTGCAGCCTACAGCAGCAAATTCCACATTTTAATCACTTGCTGTGTAAAGAGGTATTTCCTTCTTTAGGGTTGCCAACCTCCAGGTGGGCCCGGGGGTTCTCCTGGAATTACAACTGATCTCAGACAACAGAGATCAGTTCCCCTACTCGCTACAAGAAACTCTTTTTCAGATATGTGAGGAGCAAACACAAAAGAGGCGATGGGCCCACTGGTGGGTGAAAATGGAGAAACCCGAGACAGAGGACAGCGAGAAAGCAGAAGGGCTCAGTGCCTAGTTTGCTTCAGTTTTTCCCCTGAAGAAGAGAACTGGCTCATCTAGAGATGGTAGCAGGCAAGGCGCGGCGTCCAGGCTGCTGGTTGACATGGACAGAGGGGTAGTTGAGGAGCACATGGCTGCACTGAATTAGTACAGATCCCCCAGGCCAGATGGTATGCACCCAAGAGTGCTAAAGAAGTTTCTAGAGAACTTGCAGAGCCTTTGTCCATCATCTTACAGACCTCTTGGAGGACGGGAGACGTGCCACAAGACCATGGAGGAGGACAGATGTTATCCCGATTTTCAAAAAAGGGAGAAGGGATTACCCAGGAAACTACAGGCCAGTCTGTCTGACCTCTGTCCCTGAGAAGATACTGGAGATTTTAAAGGGATCGATCTGCAAATACCTAAAGGACAACTTGGTGATCTGGAGAAGTCAGTATGGATTTGTCCCCAACAGGTCCTGCCAGACCAACCTCATCGCATTCTTTGATTGAGTGACGAGCTTACTGGATCGAGGGAATGCGGTTGTTGTTGTTAACCTGGATTTCACTACAAGCTTTTGACAGGGTTCCCCATGATGCTCTGATGGGTAAACTAAAGGACTGTGGACTGGACTCTAGGACAGTTAGGTGGATTTGGAACTAGTTGGAGAACTGCACTCAGAGAGTAGTTGTCAATGGCATTTCATCTGACTGGAGGGAGATGTTTTTAAAAGTCAGCCAATCAGATCTCCCAACGGCCAGTCAGAAGCTATGCTGGGCACAAGCCCCACCCACTTTCTAGAATTATCTGGCAGGAGCCAGTAAATGTCAGAGTGCCATGGGGCCGACGGGCACCAGCTTGGGGGGCCCTGCTCTAGATGATCTTGTTGGATGAGCATATGCCAAAATTCTCTCAAAACAGGAGCTGAGATGATAAACCTGAATCTAGATTATTCTACTCCAGAATGCAGATGGGGATTTCAACAATGATTAAAAGCTGTTCTATACAGGAAGGAACACTATGGTCAAGGAGAAAGGTCTTGGCCTAGCTTTCCCGACTCACTTTTTCTACGTGGAGGAATATTTTTCTTTAGCAAGCATGTTCTCACCTGCAATCTGAAACTGTACAGTCAAACAGGTTTATTAAAGCATCTGCTATAAGAACCCAACCTTTATCAGTATGGCAGGATTCAGATAAGACTGACTCTTCTTTGTGAAGGTATATGGAATGAACCTGACCTGATTTATCCAGTTTATCCTCATTTATTAAGACCAGAGGCGCAATCACAACACCACATACTATCCGGAACTCTTTTATTGAACAGTAAAGGTTCATACAAAAATGAAATTGGCAACTTTTTAGCTGCCTTCATTCATGAACTTGTTTTCTTTTCCTTATAAAAATATGTTTTCCACCCCAATAAGGGGAAAAATTATTATCTGGTCATCCAGAAACTACAAATCCTATCAGTTCAACAACCTAGTGTAAAAGCCAAAGCACTTTAAATTAATTAAAACTGATACCCACTGAATTCTAGGAGTAACGAGACATTACCACTTTCAACATTGTCTCCCTCTAACAACTTCTGGTGGTGGTGGTATTTTTTTTTTTTAAAAAAGAACTAAATTATAATGTATACAAAAATATATACACACACACATTGCCCCAACATGGCAAATACCTTTGATGCAAGCAACTTCGTTGACTTTAAAAGAACAGCTTACATCGAAGACACTGATGATGAGGGCAATAATATGTTATGAAAATCTGAGGCAACAACTCATTTCGTCTACTCCCCGCAGCTTCTGCCGAACCTTTTGTTTCACATATCACATTTTATTTTAAGGCCCCTGTAGACGATCTGCAGCCCAAACACCAAACATTGCCTGCCCTGTTTTTTAAGACATTTAATGAGCTCTTCTGTCTAGAAATAGTCCCTTCTTTGTACTGCTTAATGGTCCACTCGTCTACGGTCTGAACCGTCATTTGCACTGGCAGTTTCCAAGAGACAAAGCTTAGCACGACAGAAGCAAAGAACATTCTCGAGTTGGTGCACTTCTCCGATGAGATACTCTGGCCTTCGGCGTATCCGATGTCTCACGGAGCAATGACTGACTTAAGACAATGTTGTTGTCTTGAAAACTTAGCAACGCCAGTGCATGAGACAAATGTGTCTCAAAGAGCAGCCATTGGAGTTCTTCAAAAACTGTAGCTCCCTTCCCCCCCCAAATACCAGATTCAAGAAAGGTGCTAAGTATAGACTGAGGAACTGGTATGTAAAAAATGCCACCGCCTGACTTGCTCAGTAAACACACCCTGGCTTGTAAAGCTGCCAGACTCATCCCAGCGTTTTGAGGATAAAGACACCGTTCATCATCAGACTATCTGTTCTCAGACTTTGCCGATCAGCAGACTATCTGTTCTCAGGAGAGACGACCAGACTCATGCTCACCCATGGGGCCTATGAATTTTCCACTCATTCCCCCCCCCCTTTTTGCTAACTAGAGGCTACAAAACTTTCCCCTGCCCAGGTTTCAGAGTTCTCAACACGCTCCAGTCTTGTTCCACCGTCGCTCATGTTCTGCGCCGTTTTGCAGCACTCGGACTGGAGGGATTGCTGTTTGCATTTAAGACCTTCTCGGTGACTCTGTTCCGCTTTCTTTTGTCTCCTCCTTCTTTGGATCCGGATTCAGAGGAGGTCCTCTCCTTCTCCTTAGTGCTTGGCTTCTCAGCGGTTTTCCCCAGGCTTCCCATAGACGCATATACTGAAGAAAGATGAAAACAATTAGGAGACAAAATGAGTATCGCACAGCATCTGTTCTATCACGGCTACAAACTAAAGAGTGTCGGTTCCAGCAATGGAGCTGCTGTCTCCAATCAAACAGTTCCTGTCCCATCATTATTTATCATTTATTTCATTTACAATATTTATATCCCACCTTTCTGCCCTCACAAGGTGCTCCAAAGGTGGCTAACAGTTAAAAAATGATAAAAATTACATTAAAACACTATCTGCCCTCAAAACCCCTCCCAAACACACATTGTTAAAACATTTTTTAAAAAGGAGTTCAATACATATAAAACATGGAAAGACTGGTTAGGAAGGAGGAATCATTAAGCGAATGCCAAATGAAACAGAAAAGTCTTCACCCACTGGCAGGAGTCAGCGACAGAAGGGGACCAGTGTTCCCTCTAAGCTGAGCTAGTGTGAGCCAGATCACAGTTTTTTAGCCTCTGGCTCACACATTTTTGTCTTGGCTCAGGAAGGGATGGCTCCAGAGCAAACTGATTTATGCAGCAGCCAAATGGCTCGCTCACAACTTTAATGCCAGTCGCTCACAAAGCAGAATTTTTGCTCGCAAAACTCCACAGCTTAGAGGGAGCATTGAAGGGGACAGACAGCTATCGCTGGGGAGAGTTCCAGAGCTGTGGGGCCATGACTGAGAAGGCCCTGTGTCCAGGGTTGCCATCCGCCTGGCCTCAGAAGGTGAGGGCAGCTGAAGCAGGGCCTCCGAAAATGACCATAGTGGTCAGGCAGGTTCATAAGGGATTAGGAGATTCTTTAGGTCTGCTAAACCACACAGGGCTTTGAAAGTCAAGGCCAGCACCTTGGACTGTACTTGGAAGCCAACTGGAAACCAGTGTAAACAACATCTGACATGGCAATGGAAGATTCACGTGTCGGTGGGTACTGCAACACTGCGATCATTCATATTCCAGATTTCCTCACCCGCACGGTGTGTGGGTGTGTTATGGATTGTGGGTTATGATCATGGATGTGCGTCCATTTTTGTTCAGTCATGCTGGCCAAGGTACATTTTGCCCCAATGGTAGTAAGCACTATTGCAATCAAAAGCTTTAAAAGGTAAGTCAAACTGAGCAGAGGGAAGAAGAAGAAGAAGAAGAAGAAGAAGAAGAAGAAGAAGAAGAAGAAGAAGAAGAAGAAGAAGACGAAGAAGAAGAAGAAGAAGAAGAAGAAGAAGAAGA